CCCTGGCACAGGTTGGGCAGAGAAGCTGTGGCTGCCCCATCCCTGGAACTGTTCAAGGCCAGGTTGGACGGGGCTTGGAGCAACCTGGGCTAGTGGAAGGTGTCCCTGGCCATGGTAGAGGCTGGAACAAGATGGGCTTTAAGGTCTTTTCCAACCCAAACCATTCTGTGTGATTCTATGATTCTATTCTATACATGCTGAGACTAAGATTAAAGTGAGACTTTTTTTTTACCCACCAAGTCTGTCATCCTGAATTGCACGTAAATTCTGAATAAATAGTTACTTCAGTAGGATATTTTATGAATGTCTGGGAGTGGTAGGTACAAAGGAATAGTATATAGATGCTGAGTAACACGGCATCATTTACTGGATTCTGCCACAACCAGAAATCCGGGAAAAAGGCGGTAAATGAGCTTTAAAAAAAAAAAGAAGTCCTGCTGAAAATAAACTCTTTTGTGGTTAAAAACCAGCCAGTTGGAACTGAAAGAGTGTTTTCTTAGGGTGGCAGAACAGTCGGAAAAGTTGTTGGATTATTTTTGGCAGTGGCCAGCACGTTATAGCTCTATCATTACTGGTACTAAACTCTCCAGAGTTCACTGAAAGGGTTAGTACTCCACTATTCCTGCAAAAATACAGCCCACTCCATCTGCAGCACCAAGCTTTGGATTTTGGAGCCCTGATTGACCTTCCTGATATCACTGTAACTATCTCAGCTCCTAAATACAGCAACACACAGGTAGGGGAGACGCTGAGCACGACCCACAGACAGCAGCAAATCCAGGGTGGCCAAATCACTGCCCAGAGTGTTGCACAACCACACAGTGAGCACTCACAGAGCGAATCCCCTGCCCTGCACTGATGGAAACAGGCTGGGCAGATTTCAGATGGAGTTTTAAACACCAAGTAGCTTGTGTGGGGTGTTGGTAAGAGCCAAACCCTTTGCTGGCAGCCCCCTCTCCTGAGGACAGACACTGTGCAGGTGTAAAATGAATCCAGTTCATGCTTTGGCATTAGCAGCCTGTCCTCCTTAGCAGATGCACTTCAATCTCCACACTGAATCCAGCAGGATTTCTGCAGTACAGGAGTACCTTATACAACCCCTATTTACCTTATTAAATGGACCAGATAAGCTATTTAATATGTAAGGCTAATAAAATACTATTTCTATCCCCTTCAGTGGCACTCACGAATTTACAATCAGAAACGTACTTTGCTGAGAAAGTGTCAGTGTGCTGGATTTAATTGGTGAAGAAAATAATGATTTTCTTTCAGCTGGGGTCTATATGACCATTCACACTGCAGTAATTAAGACTGGAGCTGTTTCTGCCCTTACAGTAGCAAGATGACAAACATTTATATAAATATCTTTGTATGTCTGCGAGTTTCGTATCTTCAGTTCTGCTCAAATATCAGCCACAGTCAGGCAATTCTCTGCCAGTAACTGTCAATCTGTGATTCTCCCCCTGAATTTGATTGCAACCAGATTCGTCTCCCAGACACAGGGGCTGGGGCTGTGAGCCCTCGTGTGTCCATCTGTGCAGACGGAGCTCGGGCAGTGCCACCAGCAGGTACTGCTGCACCACAGGGTTTGGTGAGCCTGGAAGGTGTCTGAGGAGGGTGGGAAACAGTGGATTGTTGGGTCTGGTAAAGGTGCTGAATAAAGGCAGCTCTCTGCAAAGTCTGGAACTACTTTAGCCAAGCTCTTTACTGCAGGGGAAAAGGCACAGCTCAGAGAGCCAAGCAAGCGGGTTTGTCCCTGTCCTCCTGCTGTCAAGTGGGGAATGGTGCTGAAAACACTGATTTGCTGGCTGATTATTGAAACAAATACTTCTGCTTCTAGTGAAACACAGCATAAGGAAGTGCCAGGCTCAGCTCTGCAGCCCAGGGCCCGATGGCATGCTGCAGCCCAGCCCGGCTCAGCTCTGGATGAAATAAGGACCTTGCTGGGGGAGCAGCTCTTTGTGCAGTACAGTCCGAGGTAAGCACAGCACTCACCCTGCTCCCAGCAGGCTCAGACCACCCATGGCCAACCTCACGCAGCAGCTACACCAGAGGAAGTGTTTAAATGACACTTGGCCACCACAAAAGTGGGGTTTAGTACAGAGGGGTTGTAATTTTGGTGTCAAAATGTCTTTGTGGCCGATGCCACCCACAGACATCCGAGCACCACCAGCACCAGAGCTGGCAGCTGCTCCTGTCCCTGCAAGTTCAGGTGGCTGCACTTGGCATCCACAGTGAGCATCTCCAGAAAGCACCATGAAAGGGTCTAATAACTAAGTATGTGGCAAAGTTTTCATGGAATGCTTTGGAAAGGACATTAGAGCTCATCTCATTCTGCCCCCTGCCACGGGCTGCAACACCTTCCACTAGACCAGGTTGCTCAGAGTCCCTTTCAACATCCCAAAATAGCCTTGTAAAATGTCTGTATGTGCCAGCAAAAAAGTCCACAACCCTCACAGCCTAAGGCACACCTATTCTTCAAATCTTATCTTGCTTGTGGTGTCATCAGGTCTTGTCCACTTCCTTGTTTTGTGTCACTTTCTATTCTCCACTAACTAAATAATTGATGAAAAGATTCAACTTTGAATCCTCAGGAAAACTACCACATGTCCTAAATACATTCTGCCTGTATTTGGTTCACACTCCACAGAATGTTCTACTACAAGGAGAGGAAATACAAGGCAGTTAAAAAAAAAGGAAAAGGCAAGCAGGAGAGATTTTTCTGCTTTTGTGTTAATGGCCTTGAAGCAAAAATGTCAACACATGCAACACAAGCAACCTGGAGCAGGGACATAAATGTAGCTGAATTTTAGAGCAGCAAATCTTGTACAGCACAAAACCACAACCAGCTCTTTGCTGACATTGCAACATCTCTTTCTTATAGAAGGAAACAATAAAAAAGGGGTTTATGTATAAACACAATAGGTTGAGGCTGCCATTGGCATGGCTAAATTGTGCCTGGGTTTTGTTCTGCAAACCTTTTCCATTACCATTTCTGTCAGGAAAGCTAACTCTGTCGAGATGTAATGAACCATCTGATTTTAATTTGGTTGTAGAACAAGGGGTTACTCTCTGGATCGTGCACAGCCAAGCTGTGAGCTACACCCAGCTCTGTTTCCTTATACAGACGATGATGCTGATTGCTCCAGCTCGGGCAGCACGTGGGAAAGCAGCAGCCCTCAGCCCTGCTTTAAGCAAATTAAAGCAGCTTTGGATTTTCCCTGTGACAAAGATTTGACTCCCCTCATCCCTGTTTTGCCCTCAGTTCCTCCAGCCCAGCTGTTGCACAGACAAGTGCTCACGTGGCTTTTGGCCTTTCTCTTCGTTCCTCCCCTCCATGCAGGGACTGCACCTCCACCCTCCTCAGTCCCTACCTTCACTTGGTATCTCCTGCTGATTTCCTAAATGTTTGCCCAGCCCTGCTGTTTATGACATTTCAGCTCCTGTCTGAGATAAGACACACGAGATCCTATGGGACATCTTAGGGCTATCCTGCATTTCCTACAGGGCTAAAACCCTGGTTGAGCTCCTTTGGTGCTGCTTGGGATCCTAGTCCGAGAAAGCTGAAACAGAGAGGGGGGGAACTGCTACACAATAATTGACCAACACCCAGAAAAAACATTAAGACATTCTGGGAAATCAGGGCATGAACTGCAGAGCCCGATTCCTCTTGTACAAAACCCTGTTTGTCCAGTGGACACGGGGCCTCCTGCCTGCTGGCCGGACACGGCGGAGCGCGGGGCCAGCTGAGACATGTCAGGAAAACAAGGCAAAGAGACGGGGAGGAGCCTTGCTCGGGCTTTTCTGTTTATACCCCGTCTCTGCTTGTTAAGTCTTCACAGAGGAAACACAATGTCTGCCCTTCACTGCAATTTTCAGAGCGTTTTTGAGTGTCTCTTGCTCCCGACACGTGGCTGAATTAGTCAGCACATGCTCGTTGCCCAAACGAGGTATTGCTGCTGCTGCTCTTCCAGCATAAAACGGGTTTTAGCAAAGGTTTAGACGTTTGGATTGCACTTTTCCACACCCAAACAGATGTGCATGTCATCTGGATGGAAAGAGGACTAGCATTGGAGCTGCATCTGCTCTGCAGGGACGTTTGAGGAGGTTCTTGCTCCTGGTATTCTGAAAAAAGGCAGATGTTTCCCTGTCCAGAATTCCCACTACTATGGCCACAATGGCATCAGCTATGCTGTACCTAAGATACCAATGCAGAGGCAGCCTGGAATCCATGTTTAAAGACAAATACCCATATTTGTCTTTAAATATGGAAAAATCCCACCTGCCTTTGTGGCATGGATACCTGAGCAATTTGGGGAAGGAGCCTGGGCTTTATCTGCCCTGAATCAGCCATGTGGCATGTCCTGAAAGGGCAGATGGGAAAGCTGGAAGCTGCTGGAGGCTGCTGAGCCAACCAGTGGTGGGGCCTGGCCACATGGCAGGTGAGTGTGGCTGCTTGAGGGTGTGATGATGGCACGAGGTCCTGGACAACTCTGCTGACAAGTTTAGGGAACTGACAGCTGGTTTAGGTTGGTTTAGCTTCTTGTTTCCCTCCTCTTCAGGGTATTTGCAGCAAGAGACCAGCCCTGGCCAAAAAGGTTGCTGCTAAAATCACTGGAGGTTTGACTCCTGGGAACATGCTGTCGCCATATGGTCTCCACATTAATAACACCAAACAAGTGCTTCATAAACAGTGCTCTAATAACAAATACCAGAGGAATTAATAATAATCTAGCTATTATTTTCTAATGTTCTCGCTTTATTAAGAACATTTATGCTGTCTGAATGAGCTCTTCCGGAAGAACAACATCTGGCACCCACATGAATACCTGATGAAATCCGTATGATCCCAGGTATCTTAGAACTTTATGGCCAGCGACGGCAGCGGTTTGTGCCCACGTGGCCCCCAGTAACAGTGCCTTTCTCTCTCGTTCTAGGTGCATAACGTAATGTCCATGCTGTACTACACTCTGATTGTAGCTTTTTTGATCGGCACACAGGCAGCTCCAAAGTCAGAGGACAATGCTCCCCTGGAGTATCCTGCAGAACACTCCCTGCTCAATACCCACCGGAGCAACAGGCACCACCTTCCCGAGGCAGCCCCACGGACGCCCCGCGGCCAAGACGCTGCTTGGAGCAGGAGAGAAGCCATAAACATCACCGTGGACCCCAAAATCTTTAGGAAGAGTCGTTTCCGCTCTCCCCGGGTGCTGTTCAGCACGGAGCCCCCGCCCGTGGCGGGGCAAGGACAGAGTTTGGGCTTGCTCGGCGGCGCAGGTGCCCTCAACAGGACGGCCAGGACCAAGAGGTCCACGCACCCCGTGCTGCACCGGGGGGAGTTCTCGGTGTGCGACAGCGTCAGCATGTGGGTGGGGGACAAAACCACAGCCACCGACATTAAGGGCAAAGAGGTGACGGTGCTGGGAGAGGTCAACATCAACAACAACGTCTTTAAGCAGTACTTTTTCGAGACCAAGTGCAGGGACCCCAAGCCGGTGTCGGGCGGGTGCCGCGGGATCGACGCCAAGCACTGGAACTCGTACTGCACCACCACCCACACCTTCGTCAAGGCCCTGACCATGGAGGGCAAACAGGCGGCCTGGAGGTTCATCCGCATCGACACGGCCTGCGTGTGTGTGCTCAGCAGGAAATCAGGGAGACCCTGAGCGGGGAGCTACGCCCTCCAGCACCCTCCTACCCCCCTACCTCAGTCTGTAAATTATTTTAAGTTATAAAGGACTGCATGGTATATTTATAGTTTATACAGTACAGAAAGAACCTCATTATTTATTAAACTCTTTTGGAAACCTTTTGTGTTCTTGTGACTTATTTACTGGGAGAGCCCCTTCGAAAATATGTTCTCATTCATCCCTAAGACTCTGAAATGCTCACAGGGCCTTTGAACAAGCTCTCCACTAAAAGAAGCATTTTTCACACAGTTTTCACACGTATTCCTCTCTTCCACAAGAACATTTTCCTCACCAAACCTGCCAGTTTACTGTAGGTTTGTTTTGAATTGAAATCTTTTGATCAAATACCAAGAAACTGAAATAGAACTTTCAAAACTTGCTTCCAGTGTTACTAATTGTCCATAAACATATAATATATAATTAATCATCTTAGTGAGCTCCTGGTAGAAACACTAGTTCTCCATTGCCAGATCAATTTCTTAGTAAGACCTCTAGTGCATATTTTAAAACTGCCAAACTATTTCCAGTGCAAAAATAATCCATTTTGAATTATTGTGGAACACTTGTCTGCACAAGAATAGAATCTAGAAGTGTGTATTTTTGTGATAAAGCGGTGTTTTACAGCCCATTACTTCTGAGCTATATTAGAGTGATGGAATTACAAATGTCAATACACTCAGATAAATTTTAAAAGTTCACATGGCTTATAATTCAAATTTGATAATTCTCTCAAGCCAGTATTTTGGCAATGGGGACCTGTCTTTTCATGCACCATAGAAGAAAATTAAAAAATAAGAATAAAAAAAAAACCACTGAGGCTGTGTTTTAGCAAGGACCCAGAATAACCTTAAGTTCAAAATTTCTGTGTGTTTGTGAACATTCATCTCCAAAAAGACACAGTGGAGCCCGAGGCCTGTGATGGGCGTTTCAGTCCCTGCACACTGAAAGAAAAAAAACCTGCAGATTCTCTTGTTTCCTTTGGAAGGGCAGCTGTTCTCCACTGCAGAAACTGTTTCAAAACAAATACCATCAAGGTTTTTCAGCTTGGTCTCTTCCAAATCCTAGAGGGCACGCTTTCACCCTTGCCTTCCCTCCCGCTCCGTTCTTTAACGACAAAAGCAGAGCTGACATTTGCTTCCTCCACGTAAGCAGCGCAGAAGGGCAGCAGATCTCCAGAGAAAATGCACTGGGGCAAAATAGTGCCAGTGGGATTAACCAAACCCAGGCAAGATGTGCTTCTTGGTGGGAGAATGTGGAAGGCACTGAGAGCACTCCTGCTCACCAGTTCTCAGCCCCCTCTGGTAGGTGGTTATGGTGTGGGGCAGCAACAGCCTGGTGAGAATGTTTTAATCCCTGCAGAACAACGTTTGTGGTATTTGCAGGACTAATCAGTCTGGAAGGTCAAGGGGAAAGGCAGGTTCCTGATTGTCCTGTATCCTCCAAATAACAACTTGTTCTGGAGCAGGGGGAGGCGAGGAAGGCTGAGGGCACTTGGAGTGAAATCACATAGGAAAAAGATGCCCTGACACAGCAGCAGGACACAAGAGCAGTGGCACCCACCTCCCTGTCATCACAGGAGGGATGGAGGGAGATCAGGGACACAGAGTGTCCTGAAACAATGAAAAATGTGCAATTGGAGCACAGTCCCACCTGTGCTCTTCAGTGGTCTTAAAGCAATGGACCAAACAACCAAATGTGCTTTAGATCTGCTCTTTCCCATACCTGACACAACGGGGCTAGAGAAAAATGGAGCTGCTGCTCACTCAGGACTGCCAGGTTATGGAGACTGACACTGTTTTACCACTGACATAACGGGATTGCAACTGAAAGTGCCTCCTGAATGCATTTGGTAACTCCAAACATGTGTAAGACTTGGCATTTCTTCAAAAAGTCCTGCAACTGGGGACTTTCTTCCTCAGGAAAGGCGGAGAGGGACTTTTGACAAGGACAGGTCATCATAGACAAGGAGGAAGGGCTGCTATGGAACAGATTTATTGGGAAAATGGCATAGTCACACACACAGAATGACACAGAATAGCTGGAAGGGACCCACAAGGATCATCAAGTCCAACTCTTAAATGAAAGGCCCATGTGGGGGATTGAACCCATTGCAACAACCTGAAATTCTCTTTGGACTCTGAGGAAAGAAAAGCAAGATCCTTATGTTTGACAAGCAAATCAAACCAATTTAGTTTCACCTTTAACCAAATGCCACACGCCTGACACCCACAGCCTCACTCCTGCTGGGTTGGTCTGACTAAGGAGCACAGGTTAAATTTTGCCTGCAGGAGTAAACGGATCAGTCTTTAGAAGGATGAAGGTGTGGATCATAATCAGTTTCCATCTCCCAACACAGGACTCATCCTCTCGTCACTGTAGTTATTAGTTTTGGTTTGTTGGTGGTTTTTTTTTTGTTGAGGGGGGCGGGGGGAGGAGAATGACAAGGACAAACCCCTGAAATCCCACTGGTTACTCAGTCATTCCGACTGCTGAGGGGCTGCCAAAAGCCTGGAATGCCAGAAATCCCATTCTAACGCCTAGACCTGCAATCAGGCTGCACTTCACTGGGCCTTGCCTTGACTATTTTCACCTCAGCTGGAGTACAGACAGGAAATGTTGACATTGAGGCAGAGATGGTTTACATAACAGTCGTGCTTTCCCTCTCCCTTTCCTTTCATCCCTTACAAGACACTGCTGCTCCACTCTCTAATCCCTTGTTCAAACATGCAATTAAAGAGAAGCCACACCCTTGCCATCTCTCCTTCAGTAAGCAACACCTTTCAGGAGAGCAATTACAATTCCTCAGGGAATTTACTTGCAGGGCTTGGAATCACTGCGTGTTGTATTTTCACTTTTCTCAGTCTGTCTTCCTGAGGTATTCTTTGCTCTGGACAAGTCAGCTTCTCTGTGCCCACAGATAAACTGTTCTGATATGGCTTCTCTAGTGTGATATGAGACACTGGACCTCATATGCAACCTTTAATCCCAGCACTTGGTCAGTAAAAGCACTGAAGATTGTGCTTTGACACTTCAGTATCACCCTTCAGCCGAGCTGCTTTTTTATGAAGTGAACAGAAATCAGCAAAATCTAAGGATGAATGTAACCCAAAGCAAAAAAAACCTGGAATAATCACTACACAGTTTAATACATGGAGAAAACAATCCATCAGAACACCTGGGCACAGGGCTGAAACTAAGAAAATACAAGCACAGAACTATCCAGCTTCCAAGCTTGCCAGGAGACAGTATCCATTGGTTTTAGACATAATAAGGGAATCATGACAGGGCCAATATCTCATTAGAAAAATGGGTATTTCTTTGGTTTGGTTGGTTGTTAGAGAGCAAACCAGCTCCATAATGGTTTAAAGACATGGTGGCATTACCTGCACACCTTGGTGCTGATGCTCAGGGATGGGCTTTCCTCAGAAAGGGCTTTGCAGGTTGGGGTCTGGCTGGAGCATTCCTAATTTCTCCAGGACAGAGTCATCTGACCAGAGGATCACCTCTTTCCTATGTGCCCGATTTTACAGCAGATCCCAGGCATTGGCTTCAGATTACCAGATAAAATATTGAGTCCTTGTCCTCCCAGTGACAGCTGTTTCTGCAAGGATTATTTTTATTCCAACACTTTAGTAAGCACTTCCTCGGAGTTCTTTGAGTTTTCCTTCGTGTCCTTCCAGACTTCAAATAGCACCAAATACTTCCTGATGGAATCGTAAACTCACAGATTTTGGAGGGTTTCCCTAAACTCTCCAAGACACGAAGAGGAATGACGAGGCTGCCAAGTTTTACTGGGCATCTTTGCTGTCTGAGTGGTGGGGACACTACAATCTGACTGCAATTCAACTCACTGGGATGGGAGCAGGAGGTTCTCCCATTGTGTTTCTGCCAAACCGTTCTGGAGGACGGATTTTTCTTTCCTCGTACCGAAAGAAAACAAAAACCCCTCAAAACTGCTCGTGTGTCAGTCAGAGAGATGGATAAATGCTTTAAATGCAAATGACCTTTTCTTTTGAAGCCCTACATAGAACACTGCCAGCCACTTACAGCACAGACCTCAACAGATCTCTGCAACCTGAAGCTTCACTTCATCCTCAGATCCAGAGACTGTGAAGGCTCCTCCTGCCTTGGAAAAGACAAGCCTGTACTGAGTGCACTGACTCATGGACTGTCTCTTTTTTTATCGCCTCTATTTACATAATCCAGCACACACAGTGGCCCCCCTGGAGGCATTTAGCAAGATCCTGCCCTCAAGGTTGTGATCCGACCCCGTGCTGGTTGGAGAAATGAATCACCCAGTTGTAAAGCTCTGCAAGGACCCCCAGCCCAGGTAACACCTCCAGCCTCAGCTGAACAGGGCGCAGATGCTCGTGGCACCTCCACCAAAAACACATCTGCTGCTGTTACTGATCAGATGGATCCTCTGGGGATTTGGTTCCATTTCCCTTTTTCCTCTTGAATCATTTGATTTGGTCGGATTCCAATTCCACTGCGCAGAGTCCAACTCTGAGAGCAAGTTAGGCTGTGGAAGGAAGGAAGGAAGGAGAGTGCACAATCCCAATTTCCTTGTGAGAGGCCTATTAAGCAACAAATATCAAGCCTTTTATTACAGGTTCTAATTAAAACAGAAGTTGTCTGATTGAGGAATTAAATGCACTCATTCCAAAATTCAGGTTGATGTGCTGCAGTAACATTCAAGCTCTGTTCGTGCTCTTTTTGTATTGATGATGCACAGGAAGGAAAGGGAAGAGAAAACTGTTCTTGTCACCAGCTCCAAAGGATTGCTTTGGTTCTAGGTTCTTCACACAGAGTGGAACTCAAATTTCTCAAAACGTGTGCATTCCAAGCCTTTAGACACCATGAGATGATAATTTAAATGGGGTGGAATGTGCTGATGGTAGGAAAGAGCTGCTCAACAGGTAAATAACTGATGAGTGTATTCAATTTGCTAAACAGTATCAGACCTATAACTGTAAGACCCAAGTTTTCATACTGTTTTCTCACACAAAGTTCAGAATACTTTTCAGAAAGTCATGAAAAATATTTTCCTATGAAGGTAGTAAAAAAAAAAAAAATAGGGAGACAGATTTTGCACAAATTTTTCTAGAGCTTTTACG